TTGTAGAATTCAATAGGAACTTATGGTCCATCCATCCATCTGATTGATTTCTATCTAGCTATCAAGCCTGAAAGAATCCACTCTACAAAATGCTTACTGTGGAAAAATATTCATTGCAATATTATGTATAGTATTAAAAGACCGGGAACAACACTAATAATAAAAGAGTGATAAAAACATTATCAAGCACACATACAAAGAAAAATTATCCAACTTCTGAAACAGCACTTCTGAGTATAAATGCATAATTTATAATGAAATCAGTGAAAACACAGAATAAAAAAGTAGGAAAAACTCCTAAAATATATAAAATATAAAAATACACAAAGATGGGAAGAAAAACCTTAAAATTTGAGTGATCACCATGCCTAAATAGCTGGAGAGACAGAAGCTGGCATCTTTACACTGCATCAGCCCACATAAAAATGTGTATTAAGCAGCAGACAGTAGACACCATCTATGTCATACTGGATGTGTGAAGAGCTAGGGGTCATTTTATTTTTTTCTCTAAACTGTCAGAATTATTTATAGTCATTTTTGTGAACAGGAAACAGTTAATATTTAAGAAAACGGATTGATGATAAAAGTCCAACAGAATCCTAAATATGCAACAACTCTGGGCCCAAGGACCAGAGTGGCACCCCATGTGACAGACACCCACCACTCTTCTGGAACTGCTCCAGCTCTTCACCGTTCAGCTGCTTGACAGCCACCATCACTGCTTTAAAGGCTCCCTTCAGACGCTTTCCCAGGACCATGTGATCTGGCTCTGCCCGTAGCCAAATGCCATACTTGTTTTTATCCATATACAGTGTAACTTTACGAACATTCAATTCCTAAGGTTAGTGACCAAGAGAAAACAGAAACTTGTGAAATGAAAACATATGTCCATACAAAAACCCATGTACATAAATATCTGCAGCAGCACTACTCAAAATAGCCAAAAAGTAAAAACATCCCCAAACTCCATCAACTGTGAATGGATCAACAAAATACAGTATATATCCTCACAATGGAGGGGTTTTTTTGGGTACTGGGGATCAAACTCCAGACCTTGCACTTGTGAGGTAGGCGGTGGAACCACTGAGCTAAATCCCCAGCCCTACAAAGGAGTATTATTTGGCATGTATCATGGCGCATATGCCATAGGTTCGCCACTACTTAACTTATGATATAGCTCAGTGGCAGAGCATTTACCTAGAATGCTTGGCACTCTACTACTAAGCTACACCACTAGTCCTCTATTTGTTTTTAAAACAGCACAGAAGGAAATTCCTTGAGAGAACACTTGACATTATAGTTTGCC